GAGTTCCGCGCAGATCTCTTGGATCAGCGCTGGGCGCCCCTCTCCCCAGACCCCCTCGAGTCCTGAAACAATCATGGCGGAAGGTTTCTCGCTATGTCCGGCCTCTGGAGGCCTTCACTGGGCCTCGGGACCGTCAAAAAATTAGCCTGGCGAAGGACCCAACCATATGCAGTTGAGAGTACCGCAATTGTGAATATCTTCTTCGGTGGCGCTCCCTATGGGGCCACGAGCCGTATGAGGGGTGTGCCGAAATGCGTGGCAGTGTACACAACACGAACGAAGACGATAGGTCCGAATATGAAAGCTTGAGCGCGTGCGAGTCGGATCGCGAGCGAGTCTGATTATGAATGAATCTGCGCGCGATTGATTCTATTCGCATGAATGCGTGCATGGATACGCCCAGTGTAAATGTATGTATACGACTGTGAACAGTTTGGGTCTGCGTGACTCTCGGTACTCGTGACTCTGAGCGTCGCCTCTGCAGGGGGCTTCCCTGGGAACCCCGACGGCAGCGCCCGCGCGCCGCGACGCCCATGTCGGCACGCCACACACCTGGTGTGCGGGACGCATGCGGACGGCAGCACTGGGGCCTTCGGTGGAGCTCCCTGTGGGGCCACGAAACGTGTGAGGGGTGTGCCGAAATGGGTGTGTGGGGCCACGAAACGCCGGGACGTGCATGGATGGGGCCACGAAACCTGGGTGTGACGCATGCGGACGGCAGCCTTCGGTGTGGGGCCACGAAACGTGTGAGGGGTGTGCCGAAATGGGTGTGCGGGACGCATGCGGACGGCAGCACTGGGGCCTTCGGTGGAGCTCCCTATGGGGCCACGAAACGTGTGAGGGGTGTGCCGAAATGGGTGTGCGGGACGCATGCGGACGGCAGCATGGGGCCTTCGGTGGAGCTCCCTGTGGGGCCACGAAACGTGTGAGGGGTGTGCCGAAATGGGTGTGCGGGACGCATGCGGACGGCAGCACTGGGGCCTTCGGTGGAGCTCCCTGTGGGGCCACGAAACGTGTGAGGGGTGTGCCGAAATGGGTGTGCGGGACGCATGCGGACGGCAGCCATGGGGCCTTCGGTGGAGCTCCCTATGGGGCCACGAAACGTGTGAGGGGTGTGCCGAAATGGGTGTGCGGGACGCATGCGGACGCAGCACTGGGGCCTTCGGTGGAGCTCCCTGTGGGGCCACGAAACGTGTGAGGGGTGTGCCGAAATGGGTGTGCGGGACGCATGCGGACGGCAGCCATGGGGCCTTCGGTGGAGCTCCCTATGGGGCCACGAAACGTGTGAGGGGTGTGCCGAAATGGGTGTGCGGGACGCATGCGGACGGCAGCACTGGGGCCTTCGGTGGAGCTCCCTGTGGGGCCACGAAACGTGTGAGGGGTGTGCCGAAATGGGTGTGCGGGACGCATGCGGACGGCAGCACTGGGGCCTTCGGTGGAGCTCCCTGTGGGGCCACGAAACGTGTGAGGGGTGTGCCGAAATGGGTGTGCGGGACGCATGCGGACGGCAGCCATGGGGCCTTCGGTGGAGCTCCCTATGGGGCCACGAAACGTGTGAGGGGTGTGCCGAAATGGGTGTGCGGGACGCATGCGGACGGCAGCACTGGGGCCTTCGGTGGAGCTCCCTGTGGGGCCACGAAACGTGTGAGGGGTGTGCCGAAATGGGTGTGCGGGACGCATGCGGACGGCAGCCATGGGGCCTTCGGTGGAGCTCCCTATGGGGCCACGAAACGTGTGAGGGGTGTGCCGAAATGGGTGTGCGGGACGCATGCGGACGGCAGCACTGGGGCCTTCGGTGGAGCTCCCTGTGGGGCCACGAAACGTGTGAGGGGTGTGCCGAAATGGGTGTGCGGGACGCATGCGGACGGCAGCCATGGGGCCTTCGGTGGAGCTCCCTGTGGGGCCACGAAACGTGTGAGGGGTGTGCCGAAATGGGTGTGCGGGACGCATGCAGACGGCAGCCATGGGGCCTTCGGTGGAGCTCCCTATGGGGCCACGAAACGTGTGAGGGGTGTGCCGAAGTGGGTGATGACGATGACGATGACGACGATGACAATGACGATGATGATGATGATGATGACGATGATGATGATGATGGTGATGATGATGATGATGATGATGATGATGATGATGAGGATGATGATGAGGATGATGAGGATGATAGGAGGGGAGAGGAGGCGGAGGAGGAGAGGAGGAGGAGACGCGGGGCACCGTCTCTTCAAAACGAGGACCCAACACCACAGGATGGTTGGGAATGATTCGGGATAAGAGACCGGTCCCAGGGAATGGGTCCAGACCTCTGGGGGTCGACGTCTTGGAGGCCATCTTGCGCTCTCTGAGGCCCTCTTGGAGCCATCTTGAGCCAGAAAGGACCCTCGGCCACCTCGCGGGGAAGCCCGTCCAGACCCAGGGAGAGGGGGGGGGAGGTAAACCTCCCGAGCAGGGAAAGGAAGGAGGTGGGAAAAGGAAACGCCCTAGACCACCTGCCCCCAGAGGGCTGGTGGGATTACAAATCATGACGTCGGGTGTCTGGGACTGTCGCGCTCCGGCGCCTGGGGCGGCTCCGCAAGCGCCGCCAGGAGGCCCAACGACGAGCCGCCCCCGACTCCCCGCCCCAGACTGCTCGGAGGGCCCGTTGCAGCCAGCTGGGACTGCTCGGGGGCCAGTTGGAGTCAGCCGGGACTACCGGGGGGCGGCTGTCTGTGCGCAGCCCGAAGCAGCACCAGGAGGGAGGGGTCCAGACATGGTCGCATCGTGACAAAAAGATGGCCAGAGGCATCTTCTGGCGGTTCTCGGCCCCCAAGGGTCCTCGCCGGGCCCCAGGTCCCGCAGTAAAGCTACTCGAGCCGTCGGAATGGAAAACCGACCCTGGGGAAAAGGTTGGTACTTCTGAGGGGCCCGCACTGGATAAAGATTCAAACACCCGACGTTTGGGGGGAGGGAGCGAACGGAGGGAGAAGGATCCAGGGACAAAGGGTTCCGTGCGGGGGCAGCTGCAAGGGTTGCCCGGAAGCCCCGAGGCCTTGACCCCGCACGGTTGCGCGGCGCGTCGGCGTCGCCGTAAGAATCCCCGCGGGAGAATGTTCCATTGTGTCTTCACAGCACCCTGGCCTGCACAAGAACTTAAGCGCGCGCGAGGCGCGCGCGGTTCTCGTAAATATGTAGACCTATTTATGTTTATTTTTATATATATATATATATGCTTGTGCATATGTAAATGTGCATGTGTATTCGCACGCGGGCGAGCTAACCTGGGCGCGACCCCTGGGCATGGAACGTTTTTTTTCTCGGATGCCCCGCGTGGGACGTTTACGTGCGACCGCGTATCCGCGGCAGCGCGCCCCGGAGTCCAGACCGCGAGGGCGTGGATGTGGATGCGGCCGCCGATCGCGGGAGACTGCACCCTCCTCGGTGCCCCCCGCCACGCGCGCGCGGTCGCGCCGCGCCACGGGCTCTCAGTGCCGTGCCGACCGCGCGCCCGGCGCCGGAGGCGCGCCGCGCTGAGGCCGCGCCGCGCGGCGCCCCGCCGCGCGGCGCCCCGCAGCGCAGCGCGCGCAGCGCAGAGCACGGCGCCGCGCGGCCCCGCGCGCCTTCCTGCGCGCAGCCGCCCCGCGGCGCTCCCTCCGCCCGGCCGGCCTCGCCCCGCAGCATATGCTGGCGAGGGGAGCGCCCGCCGGCCGAGAGGGGGCGGCCTCTGCCACCTGCGCCGGAGGAGCGGCCGGCGAGTCGTCCTCCTCCTCCTCCGCCTCCTCCCTCCTCCTCCTCCCTCCTCCTCCTCCTCCTCCTCCTCCTCCCCCCTCCTCCTCCTCCTCCTCCTCCTCCTCCTCCTCCTCCTCCTCGTCCTCCCTCCTCCTCCTCCTCCTCCTCCTCCTCCTCCTCCTCCTCCTCCTCCTCCTCCTCCTCCTCCTCCTCCCAGACCCTGCGTGTCCCACGCAGCTGCTCCTGCTGTGCTGGCCTCCTCCATGCTTTCTCGTCCCCGTTGTCGGCTTCCTCCTCTCAGGAGCGAGCGAAGGACGTACACGTGCAAGAGTCCACGTTGGCTTCGAAAGTACGCGTCGCGCGAGCGTTCGCATCACGCGGCCGGTCTCGCGGACTGGTGGGCCGCGTTCGTGTGCGAAGTTGGGCGCGTACGTCGTCTGTGGGCTCCCTATCCTCTCCCTCTCCTTGACATCCTCGAGGAACCAAAAATATCCCACGAACATAAATTGTCCGAGCTCCGCGCGGAGTTCTGTGAGTTCACGTGCAGGCTGTTTTCGTTATTCTCAGCAGCGCTTATCTTCGCCTTCGCCTCTTCCAGTTCAGCGCCGATGCCGCCGCAGCTGCTGCTGCTGCTGCTGCTGCTGCTCCTCCCTCCCTTCCTTCCCTCCTTCTCCCCGCCTTTCCCTTGGCGCCCGTGCTGTGTGCGTTGCCGCGCTTAGCCTGTCGAGGCTTGGCACAAGTTTTCCGCACCAAGCCGAGTGCCACAATCATCTGGCCGCTGTGTGTGTGCGTGTGCGTGTGCGTGTGCGTGTGCTGCGTGTGCGTGTGCGTGTGCGTGTGCTCGTGTGCTCGTGTGCTCGTGTGCTCGTGTGCTCGTGTGCTCGTGTGCTCGTGTGCTCGTGTGCTCGTGTGCTCGTGTGCTCGTGTGCTCGTGTGCTCGTGTGCTCGTGTGCTCGTGTGCTCGTGTGCGTGTGCTGGTGTGCTGGTGTGCTGGTGTGCTGGTGTGCTGGTGTGCTGGTGTGCTTGTGTGCTTGTGTGCTTGTGTGCTTGTGTGCTTGTGTGCTTGTGTGCTTGTGTGCTTGTGTGCTTGTGTGCTTGTGTGCTTGTGTGCTTGTGTGCTTGTGTGCTTGTGTGCTTGTGTGCTTGTGTGCTTGTGTGCTTGTGTGCTTGTGTGCTTGTGTGCGTGTGTGCGTGTGTGCGTGTGTGCGTGTGTGTGTGTGTGTGTGCAGGTAGTCAGGTCCGACATCCAAGAAGCCTTCGCCCCGCGGCAGCGGCAGCACCTGGGGCTGGCAGCAGGGGAGGCAGCCCGTTGCCCACGTTCCTGCACTACTGCGAGGTCTACCACTCCGAGGACTGGTACTTCCAGAAGAGGGACGTGCCGCACTCGGAGCCCGCCGCGCTGTTTCGAAGGGGTTTTCCCAGAGCCTCCCCTCGCGCCGCCAGATCCCGGGGTCCTGCCGCGGGCATCTGGGATCCTCCTGGCAGATCCCAGGGGCCTGCCAGGGGGTTCTGCGGCCCCCCCCGTGGCACCAGAAGGCCCGCGGGGCCCTTCAGCCGGTGCTCCTCAGGACGCGTGTCAGCCCCATATTTGTTTACCCGACTCAGCCCCGCCGATAGCACGCAGCCTGCCCTCGGCCATCAGTACACCGCTTGCAGCAGCAGAGGCAGCAACTGGAAGTCGAAGGATTACCTCCGAGAGTGCACCAGCGACCGCGGCCACTTGCGCACAGCTTCGAAAGCACGTGACACACGACGCAAAGCATAAAACTACGATGTCCCGCCTGGAGTTACCAGTGCATGTGAAGCTGAAGGCGTGTGTGTATCCGCACTTCCAGAATGAGCATATATATATATATATATATACACATACATACATATATCTATATATATAGATGTATGCATAGATATGTTTATATGTATACATAGTTTTATATATATATACACATTTCGGATTTCGCCCTTTGCCGCTGGCCCCCCTATTACTAGTGTGTGCGGCTGTGTGGACAGCGCCGTGGGTGCTTCTCGTGGCAGGCTTCTCGGCAGCGTCTGCGGGTCATTGTTGGAGCTTCTTGGAAGCAGTGTTGAAGCCTCTTGGGGCATATTTGGGGTCTCTTGGGGGTCTCCTTGGGGCCTCTTGGCGGCCTCTTGGGGCCTCTTGGGACCTCCTTGGGGCCTCCTGGGGCCCTCTCGGGGCGGAAAGGTAGAGTTTTCGGTTCGTGAACTCCCTCTTGGGCTTCTCTTGGGACCGTCTTAGGGCCCTTTTGGGCCGTCTAGGGCGCCTCTTGGACAGTCTTGGAGCCGTTTGGGGGACCTTTTGGGCCGTCATGGGAGCTTCTAGGGCCGTCGTGGGGCGATCTTGGGAACCTCTTGGTCCGTCTCAGAGCGTCGGGAAGCCGAAAGGGTAGAAGGCAACAAACTTTCAAGAACGTGAGGCCGTCTTGGGAGGCCTCTTGGAGGTCTCTTGGGCTGTCTTGGCAGCATCTTGGGCCATCGTGGGACATCTTGGGGCCATCTTGGGCCGGCTTGGGCTCCTGAGGCTCTCTTCGGAGCCTCTTCGGGCAATATTGGAGGCCTCTCGGGCCGTTCTGGCCGCGCGGTGGCGTCACCAAGAGAATCCGGGGGTTGCCCAGAGCAGCCAGGATTTGAGGTTCCCCCCCCCGTTGGTTGTTTGGTGGCGCGGCGGGGCCCCCTAGCAGACAGTAAAAAGGAGGCAGGAAACAGGGCTGGAGAGACAAAAGGCCAAACAACAAATGACAAGACATAACACATGACAGCTGACCGCACACACCTTCGCAGCCTTGCTCCCCTGGAAGGGGGCTGGTGGAATAATATATACATACACATCTACATCTATATATATATATATGTATGAAAGAAAAAGGGAGAGAGAGAGAGCGCGAGAGAGAGAGAGGGAGAGAGCGACACACACACACACACACACAACAAACCAGCGGGCGACACATTTAGATGTTGTTTTGTCCTGGTTGGATCGTCCATGCATTATTCGTATGGCATTCCCACTCTAACTTCCCTCCTCCAGTGATGCATTATGCCGATCCGGCTGCCGGACAGCAATTCCATCGAACGGAGCCCATAGGGGCGGCGTGCCAACGTCTTTACGGACTACGCTGTTGCGACCATTTCGATCCCCCCAGGGTTTGCTGCAAGCGACGAATCGGTGCGGCACCCGTCTGCCTGGCAGGAAAGGGAGAGGGCAGGGGTAACGAGGCTGAGGAGAGAGCAGAAGAAAGGAGGAGGTGGAATGAGGAAGAGGAGGAGGAAGGAGGAGGAGGAGGCAGAGGAGGAGGAGGAGGAAGACCAGTGTAAACCCAAGATTCATCAACGATGTTGGAATTAACCCTCCCTCCAAGCTCCCTCTTCAGAGGCCCCTGCAACCGTTCATTTCCATTGAGGAAACTGCCTCGTTGGAAGACAATCGTTAGAAGATCCTGAAGCATGCCAAAACATTGTTCTCGGGATTTCAACCCCACGTATCAACCTGACTGCTGCGTCTTGACGATTTGGAATCGTGCCAGAGCGCTATGTTTGGAACTTCAACACCGCGAATCAACATAATTGTTGCACCCGCATAATCCTGAATCTGGCCAAAACACCATGTCTGGTACGTTGACCATGAGAATCCGTGAAATTCTTGCAAACTGTTAGAACGAATGTGCGCGTCGCTAAGGCGATAGTCACATTTTGAAAACGGTCCCCCGTCAATTCGTGAAGCTCTTGCTAATGTTTAAACGAATGCGCGCGGCGCTCAGGCGAAAACCAGATTTTGAAAACGACCCGCCTTCAATCCGTGAAGCTCTTGCACATCTCTAAAACGAACGTGCGCGGCGCTAGCCGTCAATCCGTGAAACTCTTGCAACTGTTTAAAACGAATGCGCGCGTCGCTAAGGCGAGAGCCACATTTTGAAAACGACCAGCCCTCAATCCGTGAAACTCTTGCAAATGTTTAAGCCGAGTGCGCGCGACGCTAAGGCGAAAGCCACATGTGAAGAAGACCCGCCCTCCATCTGTGAAACTGTTGTCACTTGTTGAACTTCAGAGTCAAGCGTGGTGAGGAAGTTTGAGGCAAAACGCCCGGCCCGCCCTAAAAACTTGCGTCGGGGTGCGACAGGGAGAAGTTACTTATAAGGAGAAGGAATGGGGAGGCCCCGGGGTCCAGGACCCGTGTCCCGCGGGACCCGTCTGTTTCGTGCCAGAGAGGCGAGGAAGAGGGGGGGGGGGCAAGGAAGATGAGGAGGAGGAGGGGGATCGGAGGACAGGAGGATAATTGACCAATCTGCCAGGACAGCGAGCGGGCCGCCTTTGGACAATCCTTGAACCAACTAGGGATTGTCAAGAGGGTGCACCTGTTATCTGGGGAAACTCCAACTCGCTGCCTGTTGTTGTCGGTTGCTAACGAGGGCGAAACCTGGCTAGCAACCCACGATGAGAGGAGGCGCGCCAAAGGGGAAGTGAAGGGGGCTCAGGCCTTTCAGAAAGCGGTGGGCTTTCTCAGCAGATTCCGGCTTTCTGGGGAACCCACCGTGCCTTCAGAAAGGATTCTTGCAGTTTCTAAAGTGGCCAGAGGTCGCGTGAACCTTCAGAGAAGGCAGGCCCCTTCGCACTTCTATGCGACCGGAAGGTCGACCAGCATGAACTCAATCGCGCGTGGCGCAGATCATGCCTGGGCCACCCGGCTGCTGCTGGGCCGGTCGCCCGTCGTCCGGCTGCAGCCCGGGCGTCTTCCTCTACTGCTGCTGGGGCCCGCAACGGTGTTTCTTCATCTTCTCGTGGGGCCCGCACTGGTGCTCTTCCTTCCTCCCCGTCTGGGGCCCGCAATGGTGCCCACCCGTCTGCTTGTCCGCGATCGTCATTGCCGGGCCGCCGTCACGCCAGGCTTCCTCGCTGGGCGGCGCCCCCACCAAGGCGATGATGTTGACTTGGATGGGGATGGGGTCCTCAGCTTGGAAGAGTTCTCAGCACTTGTCGATTCATCGCCGAGCTTGCGCAGTCACTTCAGGATTTTTGACGCTGTATGTACGTTGAATTCACCGGACACGTCAGCCAACAAACGAGTAGCCGAAATCCGAGTCATTGCAGAACATCTGAAGCTGATACCAGCGTCGTCGCCAGATCTCGAGCCAGCGGTGGTAGTCCGAGTTCTGCCGTCGGTCCTTGGGTTCAGTCCAGTTGCTTTTGGCGAGCTATTAGGCAGTGAAGACACGGATCTTAGCGTTTAGTGTCACAGCATGTGTGTGTTTTCCTCGCGAGTCGCAACAGGTCGACCGCATTGTCGAGGCATTCGCAAACGCGTATTGCGAAGTTAATCCAGGTTCTTTCCCCGACGAGGATTCGGCATACTTCATCTTGCTTGCAATCGTTATGTTGAACGCGGACGTGCCCACAGCACAAATCAAGGAAAAGATGACGAAGCAGCAGTTCGTGTCAGACTCCAAGTCAGCAGCTCCCAATGTGGAGGCAGTCGCCTTCGAGGACATCCGTGGTAGAGTCTTGGAGGAGATCACTCTGGGAGCACAGCGCAGTTCGGGCCACGGCCGGGAGCTGCGCACGGAGGTGACCCACGTGCTGGACAGCTTGAGCAATGCAGCCAGCAGCTGTCACCGTCAGCGCCATCCCCGGACGGAGCGGGCCGCGACGGCCCCTGGCCGCCCCGAGCGCGGGCTCCACCCGGCGCGGCCTGGCGAGAGCGAGGCGCCCACCCCGCCCACCGTCGGCGACGGAGGGCGGGCGCGCAGCCGCTCGCCGAGACGCTCGGGGCGCCAGCCGCGCCGTGCGCGGCCTCCGGCCCGAGGTGGCTGCTCAGCGCACGCCCCGCGTTGCCGGGTGGTCCGTGCTCTGCTCCTGCTGCCCTGCGCTCACCCTTGGGCGGCGAGCCCTGGGGGGAAGGCAAGAGGGCGCAGGCCTTCTCGGAGGGCCTGCGAGGCTTGGCGCGAGCACTCCTGAAAAGCCCCCGCCGCCCTCCGAGCAGGCCTGGCCCCTATTTCTACAATTACTCAATATGAATATACTCCCCCTCTTCCCCTGATGGCGTCCGGGTGATAGCCGCGCACCCTCCGCGTACTGTTTTTTTACACACAGGATGCCCGAAATATCCCGGGAAACGACTCTCGCTGAGGCGCCGGCGCCATTTTTTCTCAAAATGCTGCTCTCGCGCCGGCGTCATTTTTCCCCAAAAGGTTGCTCTCGTTGAGGCGCTGGCTTCATTTCTGCTCCCGAATCCTTCCCCTGATGGCGTCCGGGTGATAGCCGCGCACCCTCCGCGTACTGTTTTTTTACACACTGGATGCCCGAAAAATCCCGGGACACGACTCTCGCTGAGGCGCCGGCGTCATTTTTTCCCAAAATGCTGCTCTCGTTGAGGCGCCGGCTTCATTTCTGCTCCCGAATCGTTCCGAATCGTGCTCCCGCTGCAGCGTGGGCCTCATTTTCGGATCGGTGTTTGGCCTCCGTCGTTCAGGATGGCGTTCTCGCCCCAGCGCGGGCCTCTTTCTCGCGCGCCCATCCGCCCGCCACCACCGCGCCGCACCGCCACCACCACCACCACCACCACCACCCACCACCCACCACCACCACCACCACCACCACCACCACCACCACCACCACCACCACCACCACCACCACCACCACCACACCACCACCACCACCACCACCACCACCACCACCAGCACCAGCACCAGTACCCACCACCACCAGCACCACCACCACCACCACCAGCACCACCACACCACCACCACCACCACCACCACCATCACCACCACCACCACCACCACCACCACACCACCACCACCACCACCACCACCACCACCACCACCACCACCACCACCACCACGACAACCACGCACACACGCACGCACGCACGCACGTGCACCACCACCCACTACGCACGCGCGCGCGGAGCCACAGGTCCGCTACGACACGCGTCCGCGGATAGAGAAAATCAGCGCCATGGTAAGGGATGGGAGGGAGGGGTAGGACGTCAGATATGACGCGAGCGCACCTAGCTTGCCTCCCCCCCTCCCCTCCTCCTCCTCCCTCCTCCTCCTCCTCCTCCTTCTCCTCCTCCTCCTCCGCGTCCCTCCTCCTCCTCCTCCTCCTCCTCCTCCTCCTCCTCCTCCTCCTCCTCCTCCTCCTCCTCCTCCTCCTCCTCCCCCTCCCCCTCCCCCTCCTCCTCCGATCCGTGGCCCTGTCGTGGCGGGCCTGGCGCGTGCTGGGGCTCGACTCGAAGGACCGGCGCGGGCGCCCCTGGCGGGGCCGTGGCGCCCCCGCTCCGATGGCCCTGTTGCTCCGCGTCGCCCGCGCCCACGTGGCTCCTTCCTGGCCCGTGGCTCGTCGAGCCCGCCGCGCGGGTGTGCCGACCATCGCCCATAGCATCAGCAGTATAAGCACCAGCACCAGCGCCAGCATCATCATCATCATCATCATCATCATCATCATCATCATCATCATCATCATCATCATCATCATCATCATCATCATCATCATCATCATCAGCATCAGCATCATCATCATCATCATCATCAGCATCATCATCATCATCAGCATCAGCATCATCAGCAGCAGCAGCATCGTCATCATCAGCATCATTATCATCTTCATCAGCATCAGCATCAGCATCATCATCAGCAGCAACATCATCAGCATCATCATAATCAGTATAAGTATCAGCAATAGCAGCAGCCACAGGCATCCAGTTCTTTGATTGTGTTAATGCGGGGCCACTGGAAGTCACGACCCTTTCCCCAGCGTCGAACGTTCACGCCGGATCGTGCTTTGACGGCCCCGGGGCCCGACGAGAGCCCCCGGGAGGCCGAGAGCTGCCCAAGCCTCCCGTCGTGACTGTTGTCCACTCCGCGACCACGGCCTCTCCCCTCTCCCTCTTCGCCGCCCCTCTTTCCCGCTCTCGGCCGGCCCCCTCCCCAGGAGGTCCTGTCCTGCCAGGCGCCCCTCTTCGCGGAGCCCCCGGGGGACCTCCTGCGGAAGCGGCGCGGCGGCGCCGCAAACGACCCGTCGGACTGGGCGCGGCAGGCGGTGCGCCACGCTTGGCGCCCTCCCTCGCGGGAGGGCCCGCCTCCGCTCGAGGTTTAAGTCGGGCCTGTCCCTCTACAGGAGGGATGTTCGGAAATAGTCTCCAAAATAGTTCGGGGACGATTTTTCTATTATTGTTTGATAATTTGGGGTCATTTCTTGACTATTTTCAATTTTTTCGTCTAATATCCGCCTGTAGGAGGACACGCCTGACCTAACTCGAGGTTCGAGGATCGACTGCTCGAGGGCCGAGGATCGAAAGTTCAAGGCCAGAGGTTTTCGCACGTTCTCGTCGGCCCTCGGTGGCTGCCCAGCCTCTGGGTGCTCTCTCCAGCAGCTGCGCCTCGCCGAGAGCTTTTCTGGGGTGCTCGCATCGCCCCGATCGGCCGCCAGAGACTCCCGAAGACAAGACCCCCTCTCAAGCAGTGGCGAAGCGTCCTGGCTCGCCTATAGGCCCACCGAAGAATGCTCTAAGAACCTTTTGTGGTCTACACGACATTGTCTTGGAACACTTCTACCTGAGACTGTCGTGTTTTATCACATGGGGCTTATGTTCTAAGAACCTTGCTTTGTTTCAAAAACATTTTGGGATTCTAAGAACATGTCGTGGTAGGCCTAAAAGAATGCCGGGACGGTAGGTCCCTGCTCAGCCCTCGAGGATCGAGGATCGAACTTCGTTTTTCTTTCCGGCGGCTGCTCGTCGCCACGGCTGGATCCGCCTTGAGGTTTTCTGGCCAGAACGCACCCAGGAACACGTCCAGGCATCGATGTTGAGCCCCAAACGCTGACAGCCCTGAGATCCGACGCTCCAAAAAAAAAATGGAGCGGCGGAATTTGGACAGTTTTCGGCTTTCGGGGGCCCTCGCTGGGCCTCGGGAGCGTCAGAAAACGATGCAGGACGAAGAAACGGTCCCGTGGAAGTGGTCCGGACCTCTGGGGCCCACGCATCGAACAAATTAGAGCAGCCGGATGTCTGGGAGGCTCGCGTCGTGCAAGAATCGCGACGAGGGAAGGGGTTGGCCACGGTCGCCCCCTGCGGGCCCTCGCCAGGCCCGGGGACAGTCAGAACGACTCGGGATGAGAAGGGCCGGGACTCTTGGGAAAACCCCACACTTAGAAGAATCCAGACGTCGGATGTCTGGGGAGGCGGCCATTGCCGTCCCTGTCCCCCTGGCAGCCCCTGGCTCCCTCCCCATCCCCCTCCGAAGCCTTTGTCACGCCGGGCGTGGACCGGCGCCAGGGCACGAGATCGGGTTGGCAATATGAGCGGGGAGGGGATGGCAAGGGTGAGTCACCGAGCGCGTTCCACTACTCGCAAAGTGCCTACTTGCAAACGTTCGAAAAACTATCGCAGATGCCCCGCGGCGGATCCAGGCCATTTGCGAGAAGTGGAACGCGCTTGTCTATTGAGGGAGGAGGAGGGCGGTGAAAAGAACGAGAAGGACAAGCGGCCTGGAATCGGCAGGAAGCACGAGTGAGGCTGGAGGAAACATGGATGCTGCAGGAGGGGGCTTTGTGCTGGCGGGCACTGGCATCTTGTCGTGTTGAGTATGATTACCAGGGTGGATCCCCAAAAGGTACGCTCTCGAAAAATCCACAATATCCACATGCATCATCCGTGGTGCAAGTTAGCCGTTGCTACCTATATGCTGATGCTGTCTGTGTTTGGTGGTGCCACCTAGACCACCAGCCATAGAGCACAGGGCCAAGAATGCGAACGTTCAAGCTTCAAAGGCATCAGAACACCAGCCGTATAGCATCACCCACTGAACATTCGGACAAAAGCGCGAAAAGCACAGCCGTGAAAGGCAGCACAGGGCACCAGCCGAAGAGCATCAGGGCAAGAATTTGCAAATCGCAAACTTCAAAGGAATCGTAGGATGCCGCCCATGGAACGCAACACGCCGTCGTTGTTGCCGTCGTCATCGTTGCCGTCATCTCTGCTGCAACTGTGGATGCGGCGGGTTAATTGTTCCACCCGTTCATTGGCATCAAAATGGTTAGGGTCGAAGAGGGCCTCCGGCGGCTTGCAGCTTGTGATGTACCATCTCGGTAGCCTGGATCTGCCTAGACCCCCCCTTGGTTTCGACCGTAAAAGGGTAGCGGTCCAGTAAGCGCAGTAGCTGCCCGAAGGTGCACCAGTTGGCGCGCAGCTCGTCTATCAATACGATTTTGTGCCCGTCGTACCCTTGCCACCACTTGTACGAAGTGGGCTGGTAGACCTCTGCGGGGGTGTGGCACCGCCACACCTGTCGCGTTTTCCCTGTCCCTGTAGCCCCCCATATCCAGGTGACGTTGATTTTCGCGTCCAGAGGACGCTGTGGCTCGCTGTATTCGAGCCACATTTGCGCGAAGCGCAAAGCTTGGAATCCAACGCCTGCATTGATGCAGGCTCTCAGCGACTGCGTCTCGGTGACGATCCGCACGACCTCCTGCATGTCAGAGCGCATTCCCTGACGAACGGGCATTTTTACCTGCCGCAAGAATTTTTTTCTCGCGGGTCGAGTGCGTTCGGAC